ACATACACACACAAACACACACACAATAGCCAAAGCTCTACTCGGTATACAATTGCGGGATATCAATCACGACAACCGTGGTGGTGTTAAGGTTTGGAACAACAGGAGCACGAGGGGAATAACTGGAGGTTCATGTGTCAAGCGAGGTAATATGTCGCATATGTATAGCTTCTGTCAGGCACCAGCATTGATCAGCGACGGGATGGAGCTGTCCGAGCTCTCTGTCGATCGCTTTTAGGGGGAAGCACGGGGTTGTTTCAGTTGCACTGCCCCGAATCCTCGGGCTTGGGGGCCAAACAATCATCGGCTCAGCCTTGCGATCCAGCCTTGTCATCCTCTATGTACTACCGAGTACTAGAACTCGTAAAGGCCAGCTCAATAATATCCTGAGCGACCTCTTCCGACCGTAACAACGTTTTGACTTGCTCGTCAACCCATAAAAGGGTCTTTTTGCGTGTCTCCGTCTTCTTTTGCTGGTATTCGTCCCAAAACCCACCTTCTCCCTTAACATTCTGAAGCGCGGCGTCGACTAGAATTTCCAGTTTTCCGTCCGACCTAATCCCGTCGTTCATGATTCTATGAATGTCGTCGATCAGCACGCAGCTCAACAGTCCAAGCCTCCGCGGTTCATACTGAACGGCGTCCGGCGACCGCTCGCGCAGCATGAGAGACTCCAGACATTGGCGGCACAGGTTCCAGAATTGCCACAGGTGCACCACCCGGATGGGGTGATGCTCTTGTTCGAACATGACAGGATGGACAAGTCTGGCGAGGACTGCCGAGTGGAGCAGGGCCTCGGAATACTTTTGCGAAGCGATCAGCCCGAGGAGCAGCTGCTGGCGCAACTGGGGCCAAGGGTATCGATGCAGTGGCCAGCTCCTCGTCTGTGCCAGGCGATGCACGATGTGTCTGATGCTGTCGATCTGGGTGTGCTCCTCCCCTGGTCGGGATTGTAAGCCCGTGAAGAACTGCTCTGCCTGGTCACCAGCTTCGGCAATGATGGCATTCATCGTCGGCTGCGTTGTATCCGTTGCCCCGACTGGTATGTCCAGGTGGAATTTGTCTCTAGGACAATCCCGACCCTGAGAGCACAAGCTACAACTGCAGGTGAAGAAATACCGAGTGCGCAATTCCTCTTGTCGTTTCTCGAACGGGAATGTTGTGTCAATGTATGAAAGCGTCACTTCCTCGTCCCTGGCGATCGGCCTCAAGGCACGAACAGATATGCTCCCGTAAGATGGAAAGTCTTCGTGACTGGTCTCTGAAGGCACATCAAATCTCACAAACGCATTTGGGTCACAAGAGTGGTTTAGGAGAGCCGGCTTGGGATGGAGGATCAATCCCATAGAGTCGAATGTCGGAGTGGTGAGAGTGAAAGAGTTGATGAGCAGCTTTAAGAGGTTGTCAGTCTTTTCGTTCCTTTCCCTGGACGAGTGCTCAGGACCATGTGCTCACCACGCAAGCAATTCGAAATATCGTCTCCTCGTCGTGGTCGGTGCCACAATAGGATTTGACGCCCTTCATCATGATGAAGCTGTCTTGGAACCGCTGGTCCTCAGCCTTGATGAGATCCTCACGATGGGTCTCCAGCGCCAGGAGCTGATCCCATTCGGCGTGGCTGAGGAAGTGTACCTTGTGCTGCTTCAGGAGTCGAATGAGGGCTCTGGCTGTGCTGGGGAGGATGCGAGGGTGAAGTCTGCTGTAGAGCTTACACTCCAGACGATGGTACTCTGACCAAGCCCGAGTCTGGCACTTCTGCACTCGAGAAGGTTAGAGATGGACTCCTTCATCACTGGGCTCTCCTCCCCAGTGGAAAATCAACCCGGTGTAGGAGGCAACCCTCACCCAAACAAACCTACCTGATCGCAGAATTTGACCACCTTGCAACCACTGCACGTCTTCAACGCCTGAACCCCAGGATTTCTGGGAGAATGGCCAGGATCCCCGGGAGAGCTGTAGCAATAATAACAACGACTCTGCAAATGTCGAGTCTCCAGCGCCACTATCAACGGCCGAGCGACGAACATGACCTCGGATTTCGGTGCGATATCATGTGCCGCAAAAATGCCGTTTCCGCGACCTTGCACCTTTTTGCTATAGACATTTGTGGCTCTGACATGTTGCTTCAACGGCGTCGTCATGCTACCTGTGCCGTAGAGGGGGTCAGGGCCTTGCGGGTGTTTTATTAGTTCTCTATTGCTGTGACGGAGAGCGAACTTCCCTCTCCCTCGTCTCCTTTCAATATCGGTTCAACTTCGGCTCAGCCTTGACCCTCGGAATACCTGAGGATTGTGACTATGTATGTTCTGACACACTGCCATTGACTGGAAGAGATTGGAACCCCGCTCTTTCTCCCAGCTCAGAGTGCTTCAAATTATCTCGCTACAGTAAGAGTTCGTTCCAAAACATTAACCATTGGCAAAGTCGTGTACTTGCGTTTCCCTCCTGGGTGCCTCCTCTCCTCGAAGATGTAGAACCACGTCCGGGCAAGAAATCACATTACGGAATTTCTTGATGTTTGACCCGTACTTTAGGTGGCGCCGTCGCAAGAAGGACGGCTACATGTTCTCGAGCCCCGAGCCTCATGCCACTTACTCCGTGCCTCTGTCACACGCGCCATGATGCGCCCAGCTCTGTCTTCTCCACCAAGTCCGAAGAGGCCTCTCTTGGTGAGGGTCGAGCCACATCCTGAAGTGCTTTCACAGATTGGCCCACCACAATTCGCAATTGCATCAGCCCTTGCGGTGCAGAAACTGTCGAGAGCGCAGTCGGCATCTGTAGTACACGAGGACCCACAAAAGAAATTCAGAGTGCAGTAGGCGTTGACGCCATCCGCATCGCTGTCGCAGAAGCAGGACCCGGTACAGCCACCCGCTTCTGGGACGTTACCGTCTGGACTGTTGCAGGCGGGCAAGGGAGCTGTATTTGGAATTGTCAGTCTACAGATCTCCCTCAGAAACAAGAACTGGAGCCTCATGTAGTGGATGGTTGCTTACCGGCAGTCTCCGTTGAAAGCACTGTAGTTGTAGTGGTGGCCGTGTCCGTCACCGTAGATGTGCTTGTCGAGGTGCTAGTCGTGGTGGCTGTCGCTTGGCTGATCACAGCTGGAGTCGTAGTACTGCCAAACGTCAGAGGAAGGTCAATAAGCGTGGTTGAGAAATCATACGTGGTCTCGGTTTCGGTCACGCTAACTGTCGTCACAGCGGTCACACTCGTCGTAGCGCCTGTTGTGACTGTGGTCGTCGTGGTCGATGGGGTTTCAATGCAAGCGCAGACGGCCTCGATTATAGAGCTGGCTTGCGACAGCAAAGCGCTCCAAGCAGAAGCTGTGGGGTCAGGCGAGCCTGTCGAAGAGCTAGTTGTTGTCTGGACATTACTGGGTTCTAGACTTGGTGTGGTGGCTGCTGCGGCTGACCAGGTGTCCCAGGCGCGATCGGCGTGCAGTGCGCGCTTCCGCCTGGTGTGACGGACCGTCGTAGTGGACGTCACACTGCCCGTCTCTGTCGTTGTGGTCGTAAAGGTATCTGTAGCAGTGATGGTATCCGTCACTGTCAACACCGTCACTGTGACTGTAGTTGTGTCAGCGGTGATCCTAGACGAACTGTCAGTCTTGGTCTTCAAGTTGGCTTGCTAGATCACTTGCGTCGACGTGACAGTGGCGACAGTAGAGGTTGCCGTGGAAGTTTCGACAGTGGCCGTGACCGGGCTCTCAAATGTGGCTGTATACGTCTCTGGCGAGACCGGGTAATTTGAAGAACAATACGAGAGCGCGGGTGGATAATCGGCAAAGACAGAGGCAGCATACGCCCACTGTCCTCGCGGACATGCTGACTGTGCCAAGACGACAGTCGGCGACAGGGCGACTAAGCCATTCGCGAGTAGTACTTTCGTTGATACCATGTTGGTCTTTGAAGGGGACGTCTGAGCCCAATGACCCTTGAAAAGAGATGGACAAGAGAAAGCAAATGGATGTAGAAGAGGTGGGTGAAATGGACGAGGATGTTTTGACTGGAGACAGAATGTATACCTCGTAGTGCCCAGGAGACCAAGACCGGGAGCATTAGCTAGTCATATATACGAAGGCCACTGCTAGCACCAGCTAGGTAGGAGATTACACTGTAGGTGTTCACGGCGCCATGATCATATCTGAGCTTTCTTCTGTTTAACACTGATGGGAAATGCATACAAACACGCAAATTTCCCAGACGTTGATGGAGATCATGAGGGGAAGGCAGCTGTCGCCGGGTCAGGATAGATCGACAGTGTCTCAGCAAAGCTTCTTCTGAACCATGAGGCTGTAGTGGTTGTCTAGGCAGTCTAGAGGTGGATAGTTTGGAATGGTCGATGTTCCTCTTTGCGTTTTGGGAGTAACCTGTCCATAGTTCGTCGATAGTCTTTCTATTCCGAGGCTCCCCAGAGAATGAATTTTCATAGACTGTCCAGCTCTTTCCCAAGAACAAAAACAAGAACAACAGATCTTTGACTTGCTTTTTCAGACAGAGAGACACAGGAGAGTCGGGAGAAACGTGGTGGTTGCTCAATAGAATAGCGTGGAAGGGCTTCTTGGGATTTCGTGTATCTAGACCATATATAAGTAGAGAGTCGTGACTCGCGAGGTCCGGTTCGACTATCAAAGTGATTTGTTTGTCAATAACAAAGGTTTATTGATAGTCGCGTGGTCGCGATGGAGTGAAAAGTCAAAGTAAAATGCCCTGCGCGTTTTGGGAAATTTAGTTCTGCCGTTTTAACGGAAACCCTTAATGCGCGTGACGAGCAACGAGTGATTGCCAAGAAGCTTAAATTGGCGACATGGCCATTGATCAGCGAGTCAGCTCTGTACTGAGTATTCAGCATTTGACATTTCTCTCTTTTCTCCTTCTCTAACATACATGAATATCCATATATACTGACTCGGGTCGGTCTCCCTTTCTGACTTTTTCTTTGCTGTTGCATACATATGGCTTGTCAGACTCCATCGAGACCGACGCGGGATATCCCCCTCAGTTCTGCCCCTTTTTCGCTGCCGCTTTCTCCTTGGCCGCGATCTGAGCCTCCGTATGGTGAGGTTCACGGGCCTGATGCTTCTTTGCCGCTGCAGCTTCTTTCGCCGCAATCTGTGCTTCCGTGTGATGTGGCTCCCGCGACTGATGCTTCTTTGCCGCTGCTTCCTTGGCCGCGATTTGCGCCTCAGTGTGGTGTGGATCTCGGGATTGGTGCTTTTTGGCCGCTGCCTCTTTCGCGGCAATCTGAGCCTCCGTATGATGTGGTGAGCGCTTATCGACCCAAGAACCGAACTCGTCTTCGGTGCTGTCCCAAGGCCCAAACTCATCAGAGGCTTGGGCTTCTCGGGGCCGGTTACCCTTGGCCTTTGCTGCTTCTTTGGCCGCAATTTGAGCCTCCGTATGATGTGGTGATCGCTTATCAACCCAAGAACCAAACTCATCTTCGGTGCTATCCCAAGGTCCGAATTCATCAGGGGCCTGGGCACTTCGAGGTTTGTTGCCCTTGGCTTTCGCTGCCTCTTTGGCGGCGATTTGGGCCTCGGTATGGTGAGGAGATCGCGATTGATGCTTTTTGGCAGCTGCTTCTTTGGCCGCAATCTGTGCTTCCGTGTGGTGTGGGGATCGTTTATCAACCCATGAACCAAATTCATCTTCAGTACTGTCCCACGGTCCAAACTCATCGGGGGCCTGAGGGCTACGAGCACGATGACCTTTGGCCTTGGCTGCTTCCTTTGCAGCGATCTGGGCCTCCGTATGGTGGCGACGCTCAAGATCTGGAATCACTGCTCTGACGACTTTCGACGCCATAGAGGCCAGTGAACCCTTTCCGCAGTCAGTACAGCACGCTGCAACAACTCCGCTCAGATTGACTCACCACATGTCGTCGCTCAACATCGTGGTCACCAAAGTTGACTGTAAATCCGGCAGTGAGATGGGCCGAGGCCAAGAGGCCGAAGACCAAAGCCTGGTTGAATGAAACCGTATGCATCTTGACTTTTGTGAATGTGTTGAAGTGTTGAAGTAAACTGACCGGCAGTCTTGAGAGAAACGGGGAACTGAAGAAGTGAACGAATAATGGTCACAGACCTGTACTGAAGTCAAAGTGGAATGATGATGTGGAATGATGATACGGAATGAACCTTACTGAGGGAGCGATGCTTTTTTATATCAGATATCGATGGTTTTGAGGCTGGCAGCACTGATGTGTCTTGATGTCAGTACTGCCCCAGTCCGTCTGAGACAGCTCTGACTACTACACAGGAGTCGTTCAAGTCAGGTCGCATCATGGAAGCAGGAAATGCCTCACGGAGTCGAGATCTCCAATGGTCGTGCGACAAGTCGTGCCTGTCCATGGCCTGGACCGGTGTTGATCGCCATCAGTCTACGAGTACCAACAAAACTGGCCATCCTAAGCGCCCTCAACCCCAAAAGGTAAGTGCTCCCAATAACCCCTGGCTCTGTCGACATGTCAGTCATTGGAGAAGGGGCGAGTCATCAGGGTCCCTCACAGAGAACATCCTTGCGGGACTAGAACCCACGCGACGCACCTAGATTTCAGGTCCTCTTTGATACTTGGCGATTATGAGCTTGTTCTCCGTGTTACCCACATCACTGTATCACTAACTCTGGTTTAGCATTGGTCTGGAGAACTCCAGCGAGGGGATGATCTTTCAAAGAGTTGTCTCGAGAAGTATTGGCGATCCGATATTTCCTCATTCGGTTAGCGTGGCTGGTTACCAACTGTGGAGTATCACCATCAGCTCCACCATGGGGGCGTCGTTTGACCACTTCCTCCCCCGGCGCTACGCCAGTCTGAAGCAGCATGTTGTAACAGATCTTTCAACTTTTATCGCGAGGCTTTGAAACCCGCAACGTGTTACACTAAGGAATACAGAAGGCTCAAGTTTATGGCAACTTTACGCGGTGGCTTTTTTGGGTCCCATCTCATTGTAACCTGACCTTCAACGCGAATGATTTTGACTGACTCTCCCAAAACTTCAACTCTTCTTTCCAGACTTATTCTCGATAGCATTTTATCGTCTTGCTATACTTTTGATGTACACTTACTGAACCCTCTCACCTGGAACTTTGACAATGGATTGCAAATACCAGGCATTGACTCCGGTCATGGAAAAGGCCCGCGGCGAGTCTTTCGATTCCTGCTCGACGCTGGGTGACTTGGAGGATCTACAAATTCCATTATCTTCAGGATCGGGTGTTTGCCGTGTTCAGAGGCTGAGCAAAGCACGCCAGTTCGTCGCCTCGAATTGGCTATGGATGGTCCATGCGATCCTTCTTCTCACGTCGTGCACTTTATTCGCGCTTTCCATCACAATTCGATCATCAACGTTAAAACATGTGCGAGAGTTTTCTGCTTGGTGTACGTTCCCGGTCAAGTGGATTTCCTATACAGCCCAATCAATGCTTCAAATATGCTGACAGAGCACATCAACAGCCCCTGCGGACACAGCAGTTGAGTTCAAGCCGATCAAGTATAATATCACGACAAGTGGAAATAGATTCGTCGGCGCCGGGCCTGAGGTGGATGAAGCCTGGCGGGAAATATCCTACGACGGTGAGAGAACCTGGATTCCCGCACCTTTATTGTCTTCGTTGATATCTGACACGTTTCTCTCGCAACAGTTGGAGACCAATGGATCTCAAAGTCCGACATCAAGCACCTCGGGATGCCTGAGTCGTCACTGGAAGTTAACCACCCAGAGACGGGCGAGCAAGGTTATCGAGTTGGCATGGAAGTATTTCATCAGCTCCATTGCATCAACCTACTCCGTCGAGTGACATACAAGGAGTATTACGAGCCGCTAGGTGGGGAATTTGGAAAGGGGCCTGAGGAGTTGCAAAGACATACCGGTATGCCAATTTTTACACCTTGATTGCGAACATGCATCTGTGCTGACTTCTTTGTGACCACACCAGATCATTGCATCGAGGTCCTCCGCTTAAACATACAATGTAACGCCGATATAGGGCTCTTTACGTTCTACATGATTGAAGGCGATCCGTTGGCCTGGCCAGAGCTCAACTCGAAGCACGTCTGCCGGAATTTTGACAAGGTCCGCCAGTGGGCGGTCGACCATTCAGTCGGCAATATGGAGGTTCTTGCGTGAGGACCAGCAAAATAGACTAGAATTATAGCAAAAATGAGCAATGAGCGTTTACGATTGATTATCTCTCTGTCTTAGTTCTTGAAGCTCTCCTAATTTACAGGAAATTCGCAGGAATAACTTCTAGCTTCCACTTGACCAGTCCAGCAGATGTGTCTGACGAGAAGTTCGCTGGTTGGAGTTGACTGCGCCATTTTCTCCTGTCAGTTTTACCGCCCAGCGCCCAGTGTCTGAAGCCTCGAAGCGACCTTGTCCAGTGCTTGACTCGCGGGTGGAGAAAAGCTTGAGCACGACGTTCTCGATTCTGTATCACCGTCCAAGCTTTTGTTTCAAAGCCGATGGGGGGAGCCAACGGTGGGTTTTTCCCATTGTGAGTCGTAGGTGCCATGGGAAAGTGGAACCGAGTTTCAACATTGGCCATCTGGGTCTTGATCTAACGGCCATGAGGCTCTGAAGTGCTCGAACCAGCCTCATCAGGCCCCCTTGCACTCAAACCCCTGCATTGCCCCCCCAGATGTTGTGGGGAAACCCAGCCACGCACGCAATCACGCGTGTCCGCCAATTCTTTCCCTCGCGCGATGTTTCCAAAACACTTTAGTCGTCTCGACTATACCTCGGAGACAGGATGCACTCCACATGACCAACACCAACACTCGTAGACGAGGTTCACGCGAGTGAAGTATTGAGAAATGGTGTTTCCAACGGATCACACGGCGTTCAATGTGGCGGCCGCCTCGTACACCAAGACTGCGACGGCCCCTTCTCCTCCAGGGGGACGTTGATCACGTAGCATTTCATCGACTACGAGCACATCGACGAAGCTCAAACATGCTGTACAGTTTCATGGTAAGCCCTCCTTGGCCAGAACTTGATCCTGGCGCTAGACATGATGAGCTTCTCATCCATTGAGAGCACATCAACCCCCTTTCGACGTCTGCAACTCTCACATCCGCTATATTCTGGATCTCATTGACGAAGGCTGCGATCCTGCTTCTGCACTGACAGTATTTTACAATCACCCTCTAACTTCCCTTTTGTTATCCTGTACAACTGCCCATACCCGACAAGATGTCTCCCACAGTGGATGAAAGCACACAACCCATGCTGGCCCAATACAGAATGCGAGATGTCGAGGAGGATATCCCCCTCGACGACAACGAATCCGATGTGACAAGAGTCGCTCCCCATGCAGGAATATTTGGGAAGATGGGCCGTCTGCGAGCACGTAGCCCTTCAGACATGTCAACATGGTCCTACAACGCACCCAATACACAAACAAGAAGACACCAGTCGCTCGTCGTTGTCCTGACTTGGTTTCGCTGGGGTATGATCATATTGTTGCAGACGATCATTTTGGTTCTTTTGTGGCGGCAGAGCCTGAGAGGCACCGCAGGGGAGATAGATCCAGAATTAAAAGGCAAAACGGTCGAGACTGGAGGCGACATCAACGGCCTCTATAAAACAGGTGAGCACTTCGTATCCTATGTCTTGTCCACTGTTCTCTTGATTTTGAGAGCCCATTTGAAATGGCCGCTGATTCGTTGCATTCAGCATCACACTCCTATACATTCCTCAAGCCTGACCCAGACAAATTCATCCCCAACATGACATCGAACGACAATCGGTTGGAAGTGCGGAGGAATTGGGACTTACTCATGCCATGTAAGTCATTCTGGAAACAAATTGGCCCTTGGGACTTCTTGCTGACCTGAGTGACAACGACAGTGGGCAGTGGCAGCGTAGCCATCCCAGACTACCGCGACCACCCACTCCTCGGAGATCCCATTACCGACGATCCCATCCGGTCGGGACCACTATTCGAGGCGTCATGGACACACGCCCTCCACTGCGTTAGTGGTCTTTGACACGCCCTCCCCCTTCTTGAAAGCGCACGAATGCTAACTCAGAAGCAGCTATACTACACCGTGGACAGCTACCACCAACTCATTGTCAACGGACGCACGGACAACGACAACCCGTACCACGCCGCCCACTGCTTCGAGTACCTTCGCAACAGCATCTTGTGCAACCTCGACATGACGTTGGAAGGGTCCATGTCCACCCCAGACGACAAGGAACGGGGCCAGCCTCACGTTTGTCGGAATCGGGAGGAAGCCATCGCATGGATCGAGGCGAGGAGGGTCGATGATTTGCAGGACATTGTTGGGCCGTAATGACGGAGATTCGCGGATCTTCTAGATGATATAAAAGTAAACTTTCTGCACACCCACTGTTTCCTGCCTGCGATAATAGTTCGCATCTTGATGTGTTCGTTTCTCTGTTGGTCTGTCCAGACTCGGTCACTCAGTTTCTCCATGACGGATTAATTTTCTCCGCCGGTTAAACTTCGGACAAAATTTCCAACTCCGCAGTCCCTGTGGCACTCGCGGGAAATTTTATTTCTCCCAGCGTCTGCGCTGCTGCACCGATTGACAATCTTTTCATATTCCCCCACGAAGTCGGCGGCGGAGAGGTGGTGAAGGCCGGGCCGGAGATACAGCCACAATGGAGACACAATCCAACAGGCCGCACAGGCCGTCGAAGGAGAAGAAACAGCCGAAAAAGGGCGAAAAGAACGTCAAGGCCTTCGCCGTCGCTAGACCAGGGCGACTGGCCAAGCAGGCCGTGCGGTCGAGCGACATTAAGGAGAAGCGCCTCCATGTCCCACAGGTCGACCGCATACCCGAAGAAGCGCCTCCTATTGTCGTCGCTGTCGTCGGGCCCCCGGGCGTTGGGAAGACGACCCTCATTAAAAGCCTGATCAGGCGATACGCAAAACAGACACTATCACACCCCACGGGCCCTCTGACCGTGGTGACCTCGAAGCGACGACGTCTTACCTTCCTCGAATGTCCCTCCGACTCCCTCGCCGCCATGATCGACGTCGCCAAGATCGCCGACATCGTCCTCCTCATGATCGACGGCAACTACGGGTTCGAGATGGAGACGATGGAGTTCCTCAACGCCCTGAGCGTCTCGGGCATGCCGGGCAACGTCTTTGGCATCCTCACACACCTGGACCTGTTCAAGAAGCAGAGCACGCTGCGCGCGGCGAAGAAGAGGCTAAAACACCGGTTCTGGTCCGAACTGTACCACGGGGCAAAACTGTTCTATCTCTCTGGCGTGATCAACGGACGGTACCCGGATCGCGAGGTCCACAACTTGTCGAGGTTTCTCTCCGTCATGAAGAATCCGAGACCCCTGATATGGAGGAACAGCCACCCGTACTGCCTTGCAGACAGGTTCCTGGACGTGACGCCCCCCACGGAGATTGAAGAGAACGAGAAATGTGACAGGCAGGTGGCCCTCTACGGCTATCTCCGAGGCACAAACTTCCCGGCGGAGGGTGCGCGGGTCCACGTCCCGGGCGTGGGAGACTTGACGGTCAGAGAAATCGAAGCCCTGCCCGACCCCTGTCCGACACCCTTCCTCGACCAGGCCATCGCCAAAGCGACAGGCAAAGCCCACCGAAGGAAGCTGGGCGAGAAACAAAAGGTCCTTTTCGCACCCATGTCTGACGTGGGTGGTGTTTTGGTGGACAAAGATGCCGTCTACATAGACGTGAAGACGAATACTTTCGACCGGGATGCTGAAGATGCAGAGGAGAGGGGACTCGGTGAACAGCTCATGATGAGTCTACAATCAGAGCGGAAGTTACTTGGACAGGCAGACGGAGGTGTTCGGCTTTTTCAGGGCAGTCGACAGCTCACGGCAGATGAGGCTGCAGAAAACGACACTGGCCGAAAGACGAAAAGGGGAATACGTGCGTTTGGTGACAAGAGTGATTTCACCAGAGACGTGGAAGAAGATGAGGACGAGGGCTTTGTTAGCGGAGAGGACGATAGCGAAGCGGATGAAGAGGCCAACGACTTCCCCGAGCATACGGGTCGACCAGGCTTCGTCGCAGCAGATGAGTCCGCCGAGCGTGAGGGCGAGGACGATGTTGCTTTTGCCGAGAGCGACTCCGACATGGGCTCCGTTTCTGGCGACGAGGATGGTAGCGTCGATCTCTCCGCCGATGAGCTTGAGGGCTCTGAAGATGGTGAAGAAGACGAGGACGAGGATGAGGATGAGGACGATGGCGGTCTACGTTGGAAAGAGAATCTCGTTGAAAGTGCCAGAAAGCTGCACGCCAACAAGGTTGCTTTCCGAGCTGCCGACCTCTCCAGATTAATGTATGACCTCACACTATCCCCCTCGCAGGTAATTTCGAAATGGTCAGGGCAAACCGCGGACGAGCACATGGCCGCCGGCGAGGATGATGAGGACGACAACTTCTTCAAGAAAGCAAAGACTGATCAGGAGACTACCCTCGAGGACCGACAAACGCCCAGGTACAACTATGACGCGTTGGCTGAGAAGTGGGAAGATGAGGAGCATGTCCAGTCACTCAAGCCCCGCTTCACCAAAGGTTCAAATGCTACTGGAGCCAATGCAGATTCAGAAAACGAAGGCGAGGACGCTGAGGCCTCTGAAGATGACGAGTCTGATGAAGGAGACGGCGAATTCGAAGATCTAGAGGCAGCAGCGGACGAAGATCCTGAAGCTACAGCCGAGCTGACCCTGGAGGAAGAGCGAGCCCAGAACGCCAAACGCAAAGAAGAACTGAAGTTACGCTTCGAGGAAGAAGACCGAGAAGGGTTTGCTAATGCTGCAAAGAAGGATATCGAAGCGACAGAGCAAGAGTTTGGCGAAGATGAATGGTACGACGCGCAAAAAGCAATGCTCCAGAAACAGCTCGACATCAACCGAGCAGAATTTGATAGCCTTGACCCCGTGTCACGAGCTAGAGCCGAGGGATTCAAGGCCGGAACCTACGCACGGATAGTGTTGGACAAAGTACCCTACGAATTTGTGCGGTCGTTCAATCCGAAACTTCCTGTCATAATCGGTGGATTGGCGCCGACCGAGGATCGATTCGGATTTGTGCAGGTTCGCATCAAGCGACATCGGTGGCACAAGAAGATTCTCAAGACGAACGATCCGCTCATCTTCTCGCTCGGCTGGCGGCGATTTCAGACATTGCCGCTGTATTCGATATCGGACTCGCGGACTCGCAATCGAATGCTGAAATATACCCCGGAGCATATGCACTGCTTTGGCACCTTCTACGGACCACTTGTTGCCCCGAACACTGGGTTCTGCTGTGTGCAATCTTTTTCAAACGCCAATCCCGGGTTCAGAATAGCGGCCACCGGCGTGGTGCTGAATGTCGATGAGACCACCGAGATCGTCAAGAAGCTAAAGTTGACCGGGCATCCATACAAGATCTTCCGCAACACGGCCTTTATTCGCGATATGTTCAACTCGTCTCTCGAGATTGCCAAATTTGAGGGAGCCAGCATCCGCACTGTTTCAGGGATTCGTGGGCAGATCAAGCGGGCCCTTAGTAAGCCGGAAGGGCATTTTCGAGCGACGTTCGAGGACAAGATTCTCATGTCTGATATTGTCTTCTTGCGAGCATGGTATCCCGTCAAGCCACATCGGTTTTACAACCCAGTCACCAATCTCCTAGATGCACCTCCTACAGGCAGTGCGGCTGCTGGGGAAGGACAAGGTGTTGACGATGGGTCCAGTGAATGGCAGGCGATGCGTTTGACCGGCGCCGTGCGAGCAGCAATGGGAATACCAACTCCACTCGTGAAGGATTCAGCATACCACAAGATTGAACGACCAACTCGGCATTTCAACCCGTTGCGGGTGCCCCGGACTCTGGCTGCGGACCTCCCATTCAAGTCGCAGATCACACAACAAAAGGCACGCAAAGCACCAACCTATCTCCAGAAACGAGCAGTTGTGCTGGGTGGAGAGGAGAAGAAGGCGCGTGACCTCATGCACAAGCTGCAGACGTTGCGGAACGAAAAGGCCGAGAAGAGGGCGAAGAAGCAGGAGGAGAGACGGGCGGTCTATCGCAAGAAGGTCGCCGAGAACATGGAGAAGAAGGAAGAGCGGGAGAAGAAAGAGCGAGACGAGTATTGGCGACGAGAGGGTCGAAAGCGAAAGACGAACGAAGGGAGTGGCGGAGGGGGAAAACGATCAAGACGATGAGGTCTATATCTGGTCGATTAGATGTTATGATGGATACATGCGACGTGAAACATGATACCCTTTTTTTTCCACTGAGCCATCCATGTATGTATATGATGTGAAGGCAAGAAGGATAGCAATAGAATTTTGGCAGTGGTGGAGTTCATGGGCCCCAAAGAGGATAAATCCCACGGGGGTCACCAGGCCATTGGAAGATGCCGATGATGGGCGAGTGAGAACGAAGGAAGCGGCGAGGCGGCACTGACGGTCAAGGGACTCCAAGGCATAATATGACGAGACCCTGCAGGGAAAATGGAGTCAAAGCAGCATAGCGCGTGCCAACGGCCGATGCAAATGCCACGAGCAGCAAAACTCTGTCAACCGTTGTCGCCGTCCTGCCCTCACACCACACGGCGACAATAGCCAAAGTGAGCACTTGACTCCTTGCTATCTGTTGTCTCTGTCGCCGTCACCACCACTGTTGTTTTGCGCTGCCTCATCCCGCCTCACCACGAACAAAACCCCTACCAAGGGATCTACCGAACAAGAACGCGTCGGCAGTGGCCCAGACACGCGTTGCAACGCAATCAGGTCCTCGCCCCACCATCTCAAACCAGCCTGCGAGGGTTTCGAACTCCACCAAACTACCACACGAGTCACGACCATTGCAAAACACGCGACGGCTCTTCGTTGTCTCGTCGTTCCTTTTCTTACTCTTACTCCTGGTTGCCATCTTCCTCTCCTCGTATGTGAGCGTCTTTGCGATCCGCCCATCCGTCTCTACCCGCGACCTACTCTATCTACAAAGAGTGCCCGCACGACGCCGGATGACCGAGTCGAATATGCAGCATGCCACGGCGCATGATGCTTCAGCCATGCCGGATCCACCTGAACTGACACCTGCGCCCTTACCGCCAGAAGCTGTCCGTCCCGCTCCGCCCTCTGGAGACTCGAGCGATACCCAGTCCTCCAAACCGCAAGACCTCACTCTGTCTACTAGTGACACATCTACCAGCGTGGATAATCCGTCAGTAGATCACGACGAAGTGTCGCCCCTTTCGTCAGCCCTCTCGAGCCATGGGGGATCGCAAGCAACAGAGACTCTTTCACAACAGGAGGAAAGGCTGAACGCGGAGAACACTGGGGTTGAACAAGGTCAACAGGAAAAGACCAATTCAACCTCCCAGAGTCCTCCACCACATACCTCGGGTATCAAGCGAACCGCGAGTGGTGAAGTCAAGAGATCGAGTGTGGATGTGGTGGAAGAGGGTGTCCCCAGACCGAACGGTGTTGGTCCTCATGCATCGAGCGCAACTTCAAACCAAACAAAGGGCAATGTCCTCGAAGTAAGTTCTCCATTTCCGCCTCCATAGTTCTGGTGATCTGACGGAATCCAGCTCTCACAGCAGTTGCGCACCAGACTGAAATATGCCATGGTCAAAGTCCAGAACGGCTGGCAATCGCGGTCGTTGGATGAAGTGGAATCTTTAGCATCCCAATCACCACGGTCAACCGTGTCTGGGTTTCAAAATCTACACGATCAACAAATGCTTTCGCCCAGAACTGCCATGTCCAGAAAGTATCAGCGCGAATCGAGCGAGAGCGAATCATCCGACAGCACTGTAGCTCTTGAAAGCCGCGGACTCGTAAACATGGTTGGCAGTCCTCCAGTGTCATCGCGTCGCGCTCTTGCTCCCCCAGTCGATATTGTTCCCAGTTCTCGCCGACGTCCGACTCCAAATGCGGGAATTCAGAGCGTCAACGGAATCCACGTGCAGACTGGAAACTTGCATTCGTCAAGGCCACACACGAATCAACGAACCCCAAGCCAGAATGCTGCGATGGAAGCAGACGCGGTAGAAACCCTCCTTTTCATGGCCAGCCCCAACAACTCGGGATACAACCCACCTTCCCATGCTTCGCAAGATTCTTCCCTCCGCTCTGCACAGGTCTTCTCGTCGCAGACGTCACCACTACGAACACAATTCAGTCAGACGTCGGTCACCTCACCGAAAAAGGTGGTGTTTTCCGATGCTGGCTCCACAGCACCACCCTTTGACAAGGGAGCACTCATTGACCGCATGCTGGACGAACTATCTGATGACAGTGACGATGAACTGGAGCAAGCATTCCGACTTGCTGAGAAGAGCAAGGTGTCGGCGCCAGTTTCTACGTGACATTTTTTATTTATAACCTACCCTGAAGCGATATGCGTGTCAGTGGTATTTGGAGAGACCTCATTCTGCCTGTTGTCCATCGCGTGCAGAGAGGCTACGAGGACTACGACTTGTACAGCGAATCTTGCATGTCATCTCAAAGGCGATCAAGTTGGTTTATATATGGGGGAGATGCATGTTTTGTATATGCGCATGCGCTGTTGGAATTCTAACCTTGCCGAGATCTCTATTGTACCTTTCTTTTGTTGGTCATTAGGTGATTGCTCCGCCCAAACGGCGCATAGCTGTTGAATTTGTCGCTTTGATGATATCCAGGATCCGTCTGTGATTCGAAGCTGGGGGATGTACATCCTTGTCAACAACTCCCAACGTCTACAAGCCAAGGTAAAGGTATCACCACTGCTGGAATTTTCTTGTTGCTTAGGCGTGTCTCTCTTCCAAGAAACGGAATACGAGCTCGACTGTGACACGAAGCGTCGGTGCACGACTTGCCGTCGTCGACTCGTATCCGCCTTTCCAGCCTCAACCTCAGCCTTGAAGTCAATTAACTCACTCACTCACATGGCTTGTTTGCTTGTCCATGCCCCTGTCAGGTTCAGCTCGGACCACAGCACTGCATCCATCATTCGCTGCTGCACAGATGGATTGATCTCGAGTGACACAACTACCTACAACACATGGCCATGCCCGTCCCCATCACTTGCACCACCATCCCAAGGCTTGTCCAGCCTGCAAAGAAAACACGAAACGAATTGTCAAAGCTGGGGTTCGTTGGGGCATATTTCTCGTAAAGGTCCCTCGTACGAGCTCAGATGACAGGTTCAGCCTCGTATTCAGCCTTCCACAGAGAAACACATGACTTGAACCAACCGCCAGGCAGCTATTCAGTTCGATGCTGTCCTTCGTATCGCTGATGGCGGCATCGAAGCTGAAGGAATGGTATTTAGGTCGCTGAGCTGGTGTATCACTTCCCCAGGATCTCCCACTCTCATTCTTGGTTTCGAAACTCCCCTTCTACCTCTGTCTCTCCCTCAGCATCGCTCTGTTCTTTCGCGATCATTCTAGATCCTCACAAAGCCTAACCCAACATCACAGCGAGCACCGACAGTGACAGTGACGGCCCTCAACATGCGGTGTCCCACAGTATCTACCCCTCTCCTCTTCCTCCTCTTTCTGTCATCGACCATGTCGAACATATCGACCATGGCATCTCCGTTATCCGAGCACGAGCACGAGCACGCAATGGTCCAAGGGCCACCTCTCGAGAAGCGGGCGGTGCCGCCTCCACCGACCGACGCGACGTTCAAAAACACGGTCCTGGCCCGGGTCAATGCCTATCGGGCCTTGCACTCTGCGCCGGCCGTGACGTGGGACAATGCGCTTGCGCAGGCGGCCAAGACGGCGGCGACGAGGTGTAGTCCGGTGCATACGGTATGGTTTCTTCCCCATCTCCTTTGGGTGGCTCTGGCGGTTTATATTCAGCTGCACGCACGCGCTCTATCTCTCTCATATATATCTGCATACATACATACTCTTTCCAACATTCCCCTGCGGACATCTTCCCCCTTGAACCTATCCAATCCCATACTACGTTATCCTTAACTGACCCTTCCTCCCCTCCCCTCTCGCCTCGGTCCCCGAGGAACCGAGTAGGGTTGGGTAGGAGAAAAAAGCCCAACAACCCCTACGGCGAAAACATCTACTCGTTCTACCTGACCCCTCCCAGCACCGTGCCCAATTTCACGCTGTGGCTGAAAAAGGGTCTGGACTGGTGGTACGGCGAGGTGCGCGACTACTACTCGTGGGCGGCGGACCACTCGGGCCAGTACCACTTCACGCAGCTGGTGTGGAAGGCCACGACGAAGATCGGGTGCTCGTGGTCGGCGAACCAGTGTGCCACGGCCCACGGCGATTATTACCTGGTGTGTGAGTTTCAGCCCAAGGGGAACATTGCGGGACAGTTTGGGGGTAATGTCTTGGATGCGTGAGACATATACACACACACAGAGAGAGACACAACAAAAAGAAGGGGGCGAGGATGGGACGAGGATGGGATGAGAGAGGGAGAGAAGGGATCCGTGAGAGCACGATCGTGTACCTCAGGTTCTTCACACGCAAAGTACCACTAGTAGTAATAGCCTTTGGCCTCTGGCCTTTGATATCTGACCTGGTATATTGTATTTGGTATTTAGTATTTCCCTCACCAACTGGTACTTACATACCTACCTAGGTACCTAGATATCCACCCTACCACCAGAGATGAAACCCTCCGAGGCCTGACTCCTAACTCAATACTCAATGCGGCCTCGGATACACCCTGCGCACCGACTCGCGCCGCACCATATTCGCCCACCACGCCCTCACCTTCTCGCCAACACAAAAGTCGGGCACCGTCTTGCGCACCAGCGCCTCGAGGGGCGCAAAGTCGTCGATGCGCTCGCTGCCGGCCCCCCACATGGCGTGCGCCAGCCAGGGCACGACGTGGAGGTCGGCGAGTGTCAGGTCGGGGCCCGCGGCGTAGGGCAGCACGAGAGCGGTGTCGAGCTGGGCGACCCCGGCGGCGAAACCGCGGTAGTCGGCGCGGCTTTGGTCGAAGAAGTCTTGATGGTCATCTTCGTCGAGGTAGTAATGCCTATAAATGGCATGGTTCATGTCCCGGCGCGACCGGTAGAAGACATTCTCGGGAAACTGGGCGGCATACCCGTCCAGCGCGGCCTGGCGGGCGGCGAGAAAGTCGCGGAACGGACTGGCCTGTTTCGCCTTGAGTTCATCCCGGTCGCGGGCGTCGAGGAGGATGATGTTTGTGCTGAGTTGCGGCGAGTGGACCAGGTCAATGACCTCCTTGACCTTGTCGACGACATCGACATCGCCCCCTTTCTTTCCAGGAGATAGGGTGATCCCCTCCGGACGGCCCTCGTCGAGGTAGACGAGGATGTCGGCGCTCTCGACCAACGGCGCCGGCAGGGCCGGGCTAGTCAACGAAGGAATCGTCCCGTTGGGGTTGATGGCGACGTAGTCTGGGTGGAAATTGCCGCCGTTCACTGGTTTGCCAGTCAGTGTCCGTCATCAGCCACTGTGCGAGCCATTGTGCGAGACATATAGACCGGGTCAAAGTAGGTTTACTCACTCAAATCAATGTTTTCGACGTCATAGCTCCCTTCAGGGTATCCCTTCTCGACGAGGCCGAGGAGAGGGACGCCGGCCCATTGAGAAGCGGTCGACGAGTAGATTTTGAAGAGGGGGTTTGGTTTCTGGTCCTGCATTTTGTTTTGATTTTCTTGGGTATTCTGTGTCAAAGCCAAAGATATATATATATTCTGTCCTCTCTCTCGTGTCGATGCTCATCTCTGAGAAGGAAGACGAAGCAGGTCTTTCCCTCTCACATATATACACACACATACATACCCATCTCTCCACCTCGCCCTTACCCTCGACCTCGCTCTATCCTCAATATCCACAACAGAGGCATTTATTCTGTATCAAACCCCCCTACCGAGCAGGGCAACGTCAATGAAGAGGGTGGAGTCTCAAGATCCCATACCACGGTTACACCGCGCATGTTGATTCGACCATTTGTCCAATGTTTCCAAATCCGTGGCGAAATGATTTTTTTTCTTTTCTCTTGTTGCGCTCGCTGGCAGGCAGGCTTGCTGGGACCTGGCATGTTTGCGGGTTGCGGGTTGCGGGTTGTGCTGGTTTGGTTTGGGGTGACTGGGTTGATGTTATATGGCCAAGCAAAAAGATTCATAATCATACAGTTTTTGACAGTCAATGAAATAGAGCCCCGATCGCATTAAGCCTACCTTGGGGAATGTGATTTGACCCATGTCCTATTGAGGAAGACTGATTCATCCGGAAAAGTGATAGTGTTGAAGGAAGTTGAGAAATGACGAAGGTCAAGATTTTGTGGTTCCTTTCTCTCTGTTCATAATCATCGTCATATTCGTGGCCACGTTGGTATTCGCCTACTTAGAAAGACTGATTGGTTGGCCGACTGACTGGCTGGCTGGAAAAAGACCGCAAATATCAGAGGGTGCCAGGCTGCCGGGTTCTCCCTCTTTGGAGTAAGTATTTCTCCCAGTCACCCGTCTGTGTCTGCGGCGTATATCCTCCGAGTGCGCTCTACCATATAATTCCTCCGTGACCCTGACCCTGACTTGCAAAGGCAGCTTTCTGAGCCTCGGGCCGCAGTCGGCAAAACGGTGGGGGACGCTCAAGATCAACACCAAGAGACATCTTCCCTGGTTGCCTGTCCACTCCTGCTTCCCGTTTCCAAGGCTTCTCCCCCTCATCGTCATACGCATATGTACTCGCTCGGCCCGAGACGTAGTTACTTAATAAAGCCCAGAGGTGCGACATGTCCTCCCTCGTCTGGATGGCGAGCTGGGCAGCTGGCTAGAGAGGGGAAGTGAACAAGGCGAGGACCGTGAGGATGGGTAAGTAAGTAGAGTCGAGTCAGACTTCCGCGCGTCACTCACTCACTCACTTACTCGCTTGTCATTTCGCTGTCTCGTCGTCTCGCTCGAAAGGAGGGACCAGGAGGGGAAGAAGTAGTATGTATGTACTTGTCCCAACTCGCTCGGGACCGAGTACGAGTTGTTGTTTCAATACGAGGCCGGTGTTGAGAGACCAAGTACGACTCGCAGGACTTGGTTGCCCCTCCTTTCATGGCTCGGTAGTACATGTCCAGATGCCATTCTCGGAATCTCTCGTCTGGGGGGGTTTGGGTTTTGCTACATATACACAGGTTAACCTAGGTATTTATGTCCATACATACAGAGCACATAGCTACATAAACATTAACATACCAGTACATCTATATCCAAGGTATATATCTCTCTTGTCAAGAGACAAAGACCTGCCCTTTCCACCACATCCGGTTGTTTACTCTTGTATTGCTCCCATCTCTGTCTATAAACACCCAACATGGACCCGCCACCACACGTCTTCCCCGCCAGCGACTCGCCTATCGGCAACATCGCCTCCCTCGAAGACAAAGTCGCCCTCATCACCGGCGCCTCGTCGGGGCTCGGCCGCGCCATGGCCCTCGCATACGCCGCTGCAGGCGCGTACGTCGTGTCTGCAGACCTAAAGCCCACGCCGCCGGTAGCCCCGACTATCGCGGGAAGGCTCAAGGACACGGACTTGACGACGCCGACGGTCGACTTGGTCAACAGCAAGTGGCCTGCACCTTCCAAGGAAAGGGCCAGCTTCGTCCAGTGCGACGTCACGAACGAGGAGAGCGTCAAGGCCGCTGTTGCCTTTGCCGTCCAGAGGTACGGCAGGTTGGATATCATGGTGAATAATGCTGGTGAGTTTTTTTTTTTTTTTTTTCCTTCTGTCAGTCATGTTCACTTCCTTGAGAAGAGAGTATTCAATCTCTTCTCTTTCTCTGTGTGTGGGTGGGTAGTTGGTTGGTTGTTGACTACCTGCGTCCACAACTGTCTCATCCCTCGTCCTTTGAACTCCTCACTCCTCACTCTTGAACTCGTTTGGCCTGCTCAATATCCCTCGTCCATCCACGCATTAACCTCACCTCTCCCCACTTTGCGGCTCTCCAGGAATCTCCGCCGAAACTGGCGCGAAAGAATACTCCGGCGCGTTCCCCCGGATCCACGAGACGCCCGTCGCGGCGCTCGACCTGACGTACCAAGTCAACATCAAGGGCGTATGGCTGGGGACAAAGTACGCCGTGACGCAGATGCTCGCGCAGGAACCGCACCCGCGACACTCGCGGCCCGCCGGTGCGTTGGCCACCACGACGTCGGACGTGCACCGAGGCTGGATCATCAACATCTCTAGCATCATGGGGAGCATCGCGATGCCCGGCACATCGCCGTATTGTGCGAGCAAAAGTGCGGTTTTGGGGCTTACGCGGGCGGTTGGGCTCGAGTACGCAAAGGACGGCATCCACATCAACGCCATCCAGCCGGGCTTTGCCGACACGGCCCTGCTCGAGAACATGTACTCCAAGAACGACCGCGACAGCATGGACGCCACGATGAAGATGTTGCATCCCTGGGGCCGCACAGGCAGGGCCGAGGACATTGCCCGCGCTGCCGTCTTCCTCGCCGGTGAAGGCGCCAGCTGGATGACCGGCGGGTCCATCGTGGTGGATGGTGGATATCTCGCTCAGTAAAGAGGCCGGCAGAATCGAAGGGGGCGATGAAGCAAAGAATAGAGGGCAGAGAAGAGAGAGACATCTGCATGGCTGGATAGACTTGCGTGTCCAACCATTGCAGACGAAAGTCTTGAGCAAAAAGCAAAGCGGCCTCTCAAACGGAAGGAGGACATGTACCATGCGGAAATCGACACATGCACAAAAAACACAACGCGGTCCAGACAAAGTGAACGGAATACCCATCTGATTATGCATACTCAATAGGCTGAAGCCCTGAGGCTATGATGCAGTTAATGGTGCCGGACAATAAAAAACTCGCCTGCTCAAACCGTACCCATAAACGCCTTGCCTCGTAACTCATGCCATCATTCCACCTAGCCTCTCGTTTGACCCTGTCTCCATGTCTCGTAGCCCAACAAAGTGTCCGTGGACTGACACAAACGGCTGGTGTCGTCAAATACGTGCATGAAACAAATCGCTAAAAACAAAATCTTGCAGTTCTGCCCACCGAGCCCATTTACCCACCGAAACAATGCGCCGAAGAAAAGAGACCGTTTGGTTGGGGTGTTGGCCTACAACCAACACGATCACCCCGTGACAGTACCCTTGGCGGCCAGTCTGGACAAGGTAGGGAGAAAAGACGGTGGTTAATGACTGAGAAGGAGCACTCTTGTCATCGTAGAATAGTCGAAAAGGGTGGCGTGTCAAGTATAGCCTATCAAAGTCAGCAAGACACTAGCAGTTTGGTGGACAAAACTCACTTCTCATGGCATCGGTGTATCCAGTCCCACCCTTAAGGTCCATCTCAAAGCTCTCAGCCACGTCAATCACACGCCTGATATGCACCATACTCAAAGGCACTTCTTCGTGGACAGCCAGAGCCTGTGCAGCACGCACCAAGTTCTTGATCTGTCGCCCATTGACCTCCCGGCGCGCAAGGTCGTTGTAATCTTGCTCGGTGATATTCGCAACTTGCATCCCTTCTTGGTTCTTAACCCGATCAATGAAGAGCTTCCATACGGTGCGTTTCGCCTTGGTCGTAAGGTTCTGGAACCGCAGCGATAGGTGGATTCGTGACACAAAGGCAGCGTCAAACGTCTCCACGCGGTTGGTGGTCAGGAACAGAATGCCTTGGAAGTATTCGAGAAGGCGAAGGAAGATGCTGACAAGCGCATTGCGATGAATGTCGTGAATCGAACGTTGTTCCAAAAAGACGTCGGCTTCGTCCAGCAACAGGATTGCTCCCCAACTGTGGGCAATATCCAGAATGTTTTGGAGTTCCTTTTCGAGCTTGGTTGGTTCGGTGCCCAGGTCGCCCGCACTGACCATGTACAACGGACACTTGAGGAGATCCGCAATCCCTTCCGCTGTAAGCGTCTTGCCGGTGCCTGGAGGACCGTGGAGAACAGCAACCAAGCCACGGCCTTTGCCAGAGATGATGTCATCAATACTCTTGTGGGCTTGAAAAGTATGACTGGAGACAAGGGCCTTGACAATGGACTTGTGGTTGTCAGGAAGGACGAGACTCTCAAAGGCTTGGTCGTTGAAGACGACATCAGAAATGCCAGAGACGGTGAACTCGAGCCAAAGCTTTTCGCCAAAAGCAAAGCCCAGAACGACAGGGCTGGCAATGAGCAATTCTTCCTCGGTAAATTCGTGGGTGGATAGCTTGTCATCCCCAAGTGGTTCCGTGTTCTGGCTCCAGTCGATGTCTTCCTTTGAGTTGACCTCCACAATGACATTTTCACCATTTGGCGTCCTGACCACTTTGTACCTCTTGGTCTCCTGCACCTGAATGGTTTCATCGGAAGGAGTGGTCTGGTTATTGGCCTCCATGTCGCTACCACTGTCAAAGCCGTAGCTCTCATCGGTGTCGTCGAGCATGCCTCCGTCTGGATCGTCCTTTGGCTTGATGACGCTGGCCGGATAGTTGGGATTGATTCGGCGATGGATGGCGGGATCGACCATGACACGCCCGTCAATGTTGATCTTCAGCACTTGCTTCTTGCGTTTGGTGTATGCCATGCCCCTATGGTGACGGTAGTTCATACCCTGCAGGGCCACAAAACGCTTGCCTCGGTCAATGAGCTGGGTTCTCATCTTCTCCGCATGTTTGTGATACTGAAGTGGATAGCAATCCAGCGAGGTTATCTTGCGCACACCTTGGAAGGAGGAAATTTCCGCGTGAGTGGTGCCCATGCCAAAGTTCTTGCCGTCGTACTCGAGGTATCGGCCTTCGACGATGTACCAACTGCCCCTCATGAAGTGCGATTCTTTGGTGGTGAAATCGATCTTGAAAGCCCGCGGTTCCTCCTGATCACCGTAAGTCGAAGTGTACACAATGGCATTCGGCTTGTACAAGGCCCAGAGGAGGTCAAAGGTGATCATGCCATTATCCAGCATTGGGTACAGATTCTTCTTGGTCTCGGCAAAATCTTTGTCCAGGTATTTGACCATGACTCGAAGATGTTTGGCTTTGGTCTTGGAAACCTTTGCCTCCTTGCGCTTCTTTCCTCCAGCATCGTCCTCGAGGGTCCTGATATAGTCCCTCATCTCTTCTAGATACAAGAAGAGCATATTGGGATCCAGGTGCGGCGTATCTTCTACCAGGCTGATTCCCTTGACGCCCGCCATGACATGTTGAAGGCATTGCTTGAGAGGTTCGGATTTGATGTCGACAACCGTTGCCAGGTATTTGTGCTCCCAGTCGAACCGACGACGAACAGTGAAGATATACTGGTCCCAGATGGCCTCCCCGGTATTTTTGACAGTCTCTGTGAGCTTGAAGTTGTGGATCGATTGGTCCCAAAGTTGGTCCACTCGTTTGTAGGCCACTTTGGAGGCGCGTTTCGGCTTCTTCTGCTTCTTCGGCTTAACTTCCTCGAGGTCCTCAAGGAGGATTTCGTCTTCGAGAACGGCCTCTCTACGCCGGTTTCTTCGAGGTTTGTCATAACTGCTGAGGGGGATTGGCTCTGGATTAAGCTGGGCTCGGGGCATGCCGAACACAGCGGACGGAGGAGCAAGAGGATTATTGTCAAAGTCAAGTTTTCGCAAGGATGATTTCAGTTGACGCAATCTTGCAGACTTGGGGTCTTCACGGATCTCAATAACATCACATTCCCCTCGATCTGGGCTGTCGTGTTTCCTAGACATCCTCTTGGACGGCTTGACTCGAACTCTTGACCGAGGTCTGATGATCTCTTCCTCAGAGTCATCCTCGCTGTATGAATCCTCGTCTTCAGTTGTGATCTTTTTCTTGGACCTCTTCTTCTGCTTCTCCAGTTCTTTGGCGAGGGCTTTTGCCTGAGCCTTCAGCTTCTTGACTTTGGATTTCTTCTTGGAAAGCGCCACAGAGGACGAAGAGTCGCTCCCTGAGTCGCTCGAGTCGTCACTATCGGTCGAGGCTTCCGAGGAGGACTCGGAGTCTGTCGATTCATCTTCCGTCTCTACGATTTCCTTCTTCTTGCTACCACGTTTTGACTTGGCCTTGCTGGACGGTCCAACTGACTTCTTGTATTTCTTCTTGTCTTTGGCAGCCTTTGGTGCAGGAATCTTGCTGGTGGTGGGGCGTTCGGCCGAAGACTCTGCCTTCTTTGTTTCTGCTGTGACACCGGAATTTTGGTCCATCTTGCTTGGGGAACAAAGGTGGGGAGGGATGGAAGGTCGAGGTCTAGTGGTGTAAAGTGTAACACTGTAGGTAGGTCAATAGCGAAGAGATGTGGATCGGGAAGATGAGCCGCCAGCGCCTTAATACACAAGGCGTAGAAGGAATGTAGGGGGGTGAGAGGGTGATTCACAAAAGGTATAAGAGATGAAAATAAAAAGTAGGCTGTCTCAGGCAGAATTGAGGCTGAGGCAGAGCAAGCAACAGCAGCAGCAGAGATCGAGTCACAGGCACGAAGATCTGGCTTCTGCCTTTTCTCAAGTCAGCCAAGAGAGATAACAAGGGGATAAACAAGGCAAAAAGAGGGAAAAGGCAGAAATCTGTGACGGCTGAGCAAGTGAATGATGGATGATGAATGTCAAGCGCGCGAACCAGGGCCTTGAGCCACGAGTTCAGTGGAAGAGGTTGTTGTTTGATGCCTCGTTGCAGCCTGCCGCAGTTGTCTGTGACCAACCATGCCATTTGTTCGCCCGCCAGGCAGGTGCTAATCCAAGGTTTTTTTAGTCAATGACAAGCAGCAGTAGCAGCCTGACGAGCAAAATGGTCGTGTCAAGCGTGCCGGGAAGTAGGTGGCATGGCTTGCATGGCTTGCACGGGCAGAAAAGCATCGCAATCCAGGTGGAAGAGCAGCGCGGTCGTGCATGGATGATGGTTCTGTGTGGTCTCCTGATCAGCGGGTAGCGGAGTCGCAGTCGACGCTGAGTGGAGGATATGCACCCACTACCCAGGCCTCCCCAGGACACGTCCACGGGTGCCCAATGCCAACAAGGATGAGCTGACCCAGGCGAGCAGGGAGGAAGCTTTTCATCCGTGCATCCGATCTATGGAGGAAGCTGGCCGTTTAAACTGCTTCAGGCCTACTTTTCGCCTTTCTCGCGGCAGAAACTCACACAAAGAACCCCGGGAAAAGCAAAAGATCCCCCCAACCAAGTGGGCACCATGCTGCGCTATTCCATGCAAAAGTCCTTCGGGACTCGCCTTGGATGCCTCGAGGCAAACTGCTACTGTAGCGAAATTCGCCTCAATTGGTACAAACACCCATGATGGCGGCCCAGCTATTGAAATGACCCTGGAAACTTTGGCTGCCAGGATGGCAGGATTTGTAAGAAGTACTTGTTATTAGCAACGCAGACATTTGCCAGAGATGCTGCCATCTATCAACTACACGCATCTCGCTTTCGCCTCGCTTGCTTCAATCATCAAATAAGAAAGGCAAAGCATGAATCAAGTAAGAGAGGTACTGCATTGCGACAACTCCTTTCAAGCCTCAAACCCCTCACTCTGCGTGGCTTCGACTCACTTCTCAATAGTTTGGAGCAGGTGCCACGACCTTGGCAATCTCCAGATCCCTGATGTCGTGTAGACCGGCTTTGAGGAAAGAGCATTTCGGATTTGCGCAGCTGTTGTTACCCCACTGCTCGATCGTCAGCACACTGAAACGACACAGCGGTAGCACAATGACCCCCTCCAGATGACTTACCGGACATTGATGGCCATAAAAACAATCGCTTCGCCGACACTTGGAACCTTGAGTACAGGCAATGCTTCTCGCCTTATAGCGCAAGGTGTTCTTCATGGCGGCGTCGATGGGTTCGTGGTCATAACGACAACTGTACGATTCACAGTTGTCTCGAAGATGATGCTCGTTACAGAGCTTCCGAATGGCGATACGGTCCTCGAACTTTTCCAATTCCGATGCTGTGGGAGTTCTCATCTTTAGATCGATTCTTTGGCCATTGCGGTTGACTGGAATTCCGCCCTTGCTTTCGTGGGCCCCATTAACAGCTGCAACATGAGCCGGAGGGGCAGGTTTCGGCCTCGCTACCTCGGTTGGTGGTGTGGACAACTGAGGTTGAGATGGGGTTCTGATACTGGTGTTGAGTGGAAGTGTAGCCATGGTTGTCAAGGATTGTGGGGTTGGGTTGGACGAATGGCTCGACCTACTGACAGCTGGGGTCAAATCCGAGCTACCATTTTCGGTAGAGGAGGAAGCTAGGCTGAGTGATTCGAGGGTGGGTGGGACATAAACCGGCTCGGACTTGGGAATGATCTCTAAGCACGAGGACTCGAAAACATTGTCAAATCTTGTCGTCTTGAAAGGTAAAGTGCCGTAGGCTCGGGCAGCGGCAGCGGTTTGTGCGCCATGGACTAGGACCACCTTGGAGGCCACGGGGTCATGGCGATATTTGTCGAATTCGGCGATGTAGCCATTATCGTGAGAACATGCTAAGTAGATGCGATGACATAGAGCATTATTTGCATAGAAGCGGAAGGTATCTCGAGAGGGATTAGTTAATGACACAAGCACATTGAGACAGCATTACCTCGTAACTTAGCATCGACCCTCTCTTTTCCCGGACCACAATCAATAAACTGGAAAAGGCTGCGGCTCTGGGTAAAGGAGCAAAAGAAGGTGTCGATCTGGGAAGGGTGGTTAAGGTACTCGGCAGCCGCAAGGGTTCGGGCCAGGCCTTGCTTATTTGCATAGATGTTGACAAGGACATCACAGTCGGGATTAATGCCTGGAAGCACATCCGCCGCCTTTAGGTGCTTGATGACTTGGTTGTAAAGCTCATTGGCCGCCATGGAGCCACCGGAAGTGTTCAGGGCATCAAAGAAGGCCTTGCGGAATATGAAGCCATCGCCGTCGACGAGGACCACAGTATACTTGCGAGCCACGGCAGCTTCGGCGTCTTCGGCACGCTTCTTCCACTTGCGGCGGGTAGCTCTCTCATCCTCTAGATCCGACTCTAGGGTGGAGCACGTGTTGTTGAGTTTAATACAGCTCTGGATCAAAAACTCGATCTCGGTCTGGCGGTTTTCGTCAAAGGTACGGTAGTCATGGAGGCGCTGAAGCAGGTCGTGTTGGGAAGGCAAGGCAGCCATGGCGATAGGGTTTGTGGCTATAGTAAGAGGTGTAACGATGATAAGAAGGGTAAGGCGGTGATGGCGGTTGCGGGCGGCACGAAGCAGCCTTAGCGGTCAGGGAAAAGGCAGAGAGAGCTTTGAGGTTCGCAGCAGGCGAAGCGAGAAGGGATGGAGTACCAAGTATCAGAACAATGATGATGGATGACACAAGGCGATAGCGACAAGGCCTTGGTGCAGTGGTGCAGTGGCATTAACTTTCAGTGACAAGGCTAGAGTAAAGGAAGAGTCGATTTTGCACCAAGAAAAACATCTGCTAGAATGACTAGTCACTGGTCCAATAATAGATGGCAGCACTTTGGGCAGAAGTGGCACAAATGAGGAGGGAAAAAAGGGGGGATGGTAAGATGGATTAAATGAAACAAGAAACAAGTGATGTCTGGGAGACCGACAATGGGCCTACCGTTTGTTGGGAGAGGTTGACTGTCTGTCTGTTTTCTCAAGAGTGAGAGTGAAACTGTTAATTTCAATCTCACGTTTGTTGTTGGCCAGTCGAGTCGAATCCCTACTCGTAATGGTACATTTGGGCATGAAACGAGGAGGGAAATGTAGACATGCATGTTCAAGTATAGGCAACCACCGGCCTTTGACGGTTGGATGAGGCTGGAGGCTGGAGGATGCAGGGCAGGTGGCGGAATACCCAAGTAACACGATGGATAAATAATAGTAGAAGAAAGACAGGAGGAGAGAAGAGACGCTGATTCTAAATAATCTCATACGTACGTAGGAGATTCTTCTTGATATTACCGAGTATTAATAGTGTTTTTATCATATTGAGTTTAATGGGTTGTTATTGCTTCTCTTAGGTAGTTATACTCGGAATGTGCTAGGGAAGCCATAGATAGCCAGCACCACCTATAAAATATTATGTCCTCGGCCGGTCCATGATCGTCTTGGGGACCACCAGAGCTTGTTATGGGCGCTAGACTGTGAACTGTTTAGCTGGAACTTGCACCTAGGCACCTACCTAGGTTCCGAGTACACACCCACGCACCCACGGCAGCCAAGAGTCTCTCACTTTCTCGTCCTTCTCGGTATACCGTCCACCGTCACCCTTTACCCTTCAACAACAAATCATCCACATCATGGCCCATCATATCCATCTTCCCACAATCTCCAGCTGTCACTGGCTGCCTGTGACAACCAGGACGGGCACTCACGGGGTTATCAAATTGCCGATTACTTATGTGTCCCCCAGTCTCAGTGGTGCCCTGCTCCTTTTGTATTAACAATCAATGCTACAAGCAGCTACATACCGAGGCACAATCTGGTAACCTTGAGGTATTGGCGATGCTTGTGGTTGGCTGTAGTTGATGCCATTAGCCAGAACTCCCCCCAAACCCAGAATCTGTGGACTGACTGATACTCTTAATGGATGGGGCAGTCCTACAAATAAGACTAATACATTATCATGACCATTTTCTTCAGGACGATAGGAAATTTCATACGAACAGTTGAACAGCATACAAAAGCCCGGGTTACCACCACCTCCTCTTTTTCCAGGTCCTACTCCTCCTCCGCTCTCTTCTCTTCTTCCACATATATCAACATGGTTGAGAACAAGGCATTCATCTACAAAGTGAGTGACATTACATTTTCCCCTCCTTGAGATAGGTGTGGAGCACTGACACTACGCAATAAAGGCTATCCCCAATGGCTGGCCCGTCCCAGGTAAAGACCTGACGGTCGAGGACATTGGATTCGACGAAGCCGCACCTCCACCCAAGGGCGGCTTCACCACCAAAAACTACTATGCGGCATACGACCCCAGCCAACGCGGCCGAATGCGAGACCCGAGCATTCAATCGTACGTGGGGGCCATGAACACGGGCGAGCCCGTCATCAGCGTCAGTGTCATCGGCAAAGTGCTGAAGAGCGACAACCCCAAGATCCAACCGGGGGCCATCGTCATGCTGCTCGCCTCCGGCACCGAGTCGTACTCGAGAAAGGAAGAGTCGGCCGTCGCCACCACCGAGATCATCGAGCCGAAAGAAGGCGTGCCCCTGACCGCGTACCTGGGCCTGTTGGGCATGACGGG